GACATCCTTGACCTGAGAGAGAACAATCATGGAGGAAAGGTAACGAAAGTTGAAGTCATGGCTTTAACTGGAAAACATTAGAGATGAAAAGTGGTGGATTAAACAACTAATTTGTAGCAAGTCAGTCAGAATAACAGCACTGACAGTAACAAAAGAGGAAAAGCTGAAACAGAGTACAGAATAGTGTGCAACCTGCTCATTTAAGGGGAAAATATAACGTAATTAAGATACTGATCCCCACAGCTAATTGCCCCATGAAATTAGAAAACATGTCTCTAATTCAAATGAGGTGATTTTCTGACTAAATACTCTGTTCCTTTTGCTTGTCATCCCCACAGCCTGTAGTATCTCAAATGGAATAGGATTAAATCAGTTTAAAAAAGATTTGGGAATGTCCTCCCAGAAGACACAGGCAGGATTCCTGTGCATTCACTTTTACAGGGTCTGCCTATGGAGGCATATTCAGGAAAAAAACATCCTAAAAGAGTAAAGATGTGTATTTAAAGCAGTTTTATGTTTGTGTTGAAAATGAAAGTATTCATTATTCAATTTAGGTTAAATTATTCTGGAATAAGATGAAATGCAGTTTAACTGTGATAAGTTTCATTCATAGAATCATAGAATAATTAGGGTTGGAAAGGACCTCAAGATCATCTAGTTCCAACCCCCCTGCCGTGGGCAGGGACACCTCACACTAAACCATATCACCCAAGGCCTCGTCCAACCTGGTCTTGAACACTGCCAGGGATGGAGCATTCACAACCTCCCTGGGCAACCCATTCCAGTGCCTCACCACCCTAACAGGAAAGGATTTCCTCCTTATATCCCATCTAAACTTCCCCTGTTTAAGTTTTAACCCGTTACCCCGTGTCCTATCACTCAGCAAATCTGATCTCACACAAAGTATTACTGTCCTAACCCTTAATGTACAAATATCTAGTTTCTACAATCACTTTTCTTCTAGGACACAACATCACTCAGATTTTCCACTAATTGTTATCATGAGATGATGTGTAGAGGAAGCCCTTTTTCCAGTCCTCAATTCCTGTGGGTTGCAAGGAGCAGCCATCCACAAAGCCAGCTGAAAGATGATGAAGCAGGAGAGTATTTCAAATTTGCACTACATAATTTATTTAAATAACTAAGGAAAAATGATGCTCTTTTGCCCATCTCTGTGGAAGGAGGCACAGAAAGAACACCCTTGGCTTTTTGTAAGCTTAAGCTGCACTCTCTGAATCCTCTGAAGGCTCCAAGTGACTTGAGCAGGCCTTGTTCAATCTTTTCCTCCCAATTTTTCTATCCCCACTTGAAATAGGAGCAGCAGGATGATCTTCCACTTGTGCAAACACTGGCCTCCAGCTCAGCTGCCCCTTAGGCAGGCTATGCTCTTTGCCTTGCTATACCTTAGCTTCCACAAGTTATCCCAGGCTATTGCTGGGGCTCGTAAATGCAGGCAATAAACCTGTCCTTACTATAACACAAAGGAATTCAATAAAGGCATATCCAGACTGCTCCCAAATTCTTTTAAACTTATGGAGTCTGTTGACGCAACTATATTGTTACTATATAAATCCTTATATATTTAGGACAAACAAATGAGTTTACAATAAAATTCATACACAAACTACTTTACTTTTTTCACAGACAAACACTCTGCACTATATGGCTCTCTTCAAAATTATGCATCCATAGTCGATTATGAGCCCTTTAATGTGTCCCTATCAGGAAAGTTAAAATTCAGTTCTCTTTAATTGCAGTTTGCAAATACACTTTACAGCTGGCTTGGAAAAGCTCTTCAGTTAAATCATCTTGTGCAACACTGCTGCTTAGTCGCTGGTACCTCCCTACACAACAGCAAACTGACAACCCCACACTTCCAGGGTATTTATTGGTCTGTTCCTTAAATGTGTGCGCTTGCAGCCCAGAAAGCCAACTGTATCCTGGGCTGCATCAAAAGGAGCGTGACCAGCAGGTCGAAGGAGGTGATCCTGCCCCTCTACTCTGCTCTTGTGAGACCTCACCTGGAGTATTGTGTGCAGTTCTGGTGTCCTCAACATAAAAAGGACATGGAACTGTTGGAACAAGTCCAGAGGAGGCCACAAGGATGATCAGGGGACTGGAGCACCTCCTGTATGAAGACAGGCTGAGGAAGTTGGGGCTGTTCAGCCTGGAGAAGGCTGTGTGGAGACCTCATAGCAGCCTTCCAGTATCTGAAGGGGGCCTATAGGGATGCTGGGGAGGGACTCTTCATTAGGGACTGTAGTGATAGGACAAGGGGTAACGGGTTAAAACTTAAAGAGGGGAAGTTTAGATTGGATCTAAGGAAGAAATTCTTTCCTGTTAGGGTGGTGAGGCACTGGAATGGGTTGCCCAGGGAGGTTGTGAATGCTCCATCTCTGGCAGTGTTCAAGGCCAGGTTGGACGAGGCCTTGGGTGATATGATTTAGCGTAAGGTGTCCCTGCCCATGGCAGGGGGGTTGGAACTAGATGATCTTAAGGTCCTTTCCAACTCTAACTATTCTATGATTCTATGATTCAGTTTTACAATGTATTTATTTTCCATTGAAATGACTACATAGAGAGTTTGGGGTTCAAGGTTTTTTTGAGTGGGGAGTGCAACTGTGCTTTTTAAATTTAAAATGCCTCCTAAAGGCTTGGAATCAATGCTGCCATCCTTTGCGCCTATATCCAGTAAATCAGTTGCTTGGTGCTTTTTGTTTTCAGGGTTTAAAATACTGTTACTTGCAGAAAGTAAAGTGATGTGTTAGCATAGCAGAGCTTGCTGTGCTATTGAACTGAGGCAAGGAGCCCAGAAAACGAGAGGAAAATGATCCATTGAAATCTATAATTCTTCCCTCTGCCCTCCATAGCTCCAGAACACAAGATTATTATGCTTGTTAGAATAACTACTTATCTGCTCATAGCCAGGGCTGGGGTCTACTGGAATGTTAAAAGGATCCACACCTAATTACTGTGCTGACTCAATTATTTTTGTCCAACTCACACTTCAAAGAAATCCATTATAGCTTTTCCCCCAACCAAGGGTAGTAAATGGACTTACTGGAAGGATCAATATACTCCAAAAGGGTGAGAGAGGAATAAAGAGGAGAATTTGAGCACCTTTCTATAGGGTTTTATAAAAGTTGGGATCCTTCAGCATGAGTTAATTGTTTCTGCCACCAATGCTGCAGCTCCCAAATCCAGCCAGGTTTTCCTGCTTTCCTTCCAATAAGATTATCAAGTGGCAATCCTGGTTATTACACATCTGCATCATTTTGTCTGATCTTCACTGGATACTCCTTGGGCCAGGGACTGTGTCTGCTCTGCATTTTGAAAGTTGATGCACGCCTCATACATAATTTCTATATACAACAAACTTAAAATTCAAGGCACCTTTGTTAGTTCTTATTTTCTATGACTCAACAAATTTGTTACCTTGAGGTGCTAAACACAGCTGTGAGCAGAAGAGAGAACAAAAAGGCCAGCTTTTCTCTTACAGGAGTGTTTTCTCATTTCATAGAAACCCACTGACACCAATATATCATGGGCTGGTTTCCCCTCTTGTCTGAGGTGTATTTCTGTGCAAGTGCAAACCAGCACCCTTCCAGCAACATCTGTCAGCCAGTGTGAGTATCTTTGGCATTGTCACAGGCAAAAATCACAGCACTGAAAACGATAGGTACAGTACCACTGGTGCTGAGGTACATTGTAGAAAGCTGCATTGATATGGAAATTCCAGAAAAAGCCAAAGCCCAGCTAATAAAACACTTTCCAAAGGAAGAATGTTGTGACATGCTCTTTCTAGGTGCCTGTCCTTGACTGCCCTTTTTCTAAAGGATTCAATTAATATTCCTGCAATATTTATTAGGCACGCTCTTTCAGTGGCTGGGATTTCCCCATGCTATCTGGAAGGATAATCAGCCTCTGGGAATTTCAAAGCCGTTACTAAGAGGGTTAAAGCCTCCTCTTGCTGCTACCACTGTTTTCAGGAGTTCTTAACACTCCCATCAGTGGCAGAGAAAATCTGCCCTGCCCAAGAGCTTTAAGGCAGATGAGTGAATCAACACCTTACACAATGCTTAGTTGTAGGAAATCTGAATGATTGCTGTGCTATCTGCCTGGGGCACCTGTGTGGAAAAAGCATCACATTTTTACCTGCAGGACTGCAATGTATTGGTTTTCACACGTTAGGCACTGTTAGCACTGGCAGGTCTCAGGAGGCCTGGGTGATAGGTAAGCACAGAACCAGAATGGGTCTTTCTTCCTGGGAATCCCTTGAAGGTCAGGTCTGGCTTCACAAATTGCTCATCTGTACGCCTCACTCAGGCTTGTTATAAGGAAAGCAAGTGAATTCCCTCACATCTTCCCAAAGGGACAGACATGTCACCATGGTCAAAATATTAGGATCCCTAATGAGGAATTATTTACTGTGGCTCTTGCTCTTTCTGTGTCTTTATTACTAGTGCTTGCTATTTCTAACCCTGTAAACATACTGTAGGACCAGTCCCTCCACCATACAGACAACAGACAAGGGCAACAGTCCATCCTTCAGGACTAGAACAGCGCTTGGAGCATTTTAAATCTGGGATGTTAATCCATGAAGTTTTAGGCTGCTGCTTATTGACTGTACCCTTTGTGTAAGTAGGGCTGGTACAGTATGTTTTAGAGCTAGGAAACCCCTCCCCTTCATTTGCACTTGTGAAAATTAGAAGATTAAGTTCAATTGCAAGTGTTTGTTCCTCAACATTTAAAAATGCATTGGCTTGAATTTGTAAACTCAAGTTCTCTCTGAAACATAAAAAATAGGTTTTGGCTGCAAATTCGACTGCAAGTTACAGGATACAACAACTTGCACTATAAAAAACTGTGAGGCAGGATAAAGGCATTGCCTTTAAAATGCCATGGAAGCACAGAGGCTTTCGGCAGAACACCTTATCTGCTCTCAAAAGCTGCGACTCTTCATCCTTTCATTATGAAGACCCAAGGGATTGCTTACTTAGCATACACCAGAGGCAATGGATAGGGTGAGCAGTCACTGCAGCCAGAAAACCTCAGTACAGAGCACAGGCAATTACCCTCCACATGCAGAGACTTTGGAGCTGAACTGTGCTGAACGGAGACCCCTCCAGCTGAGAGAGCCATGTGTGCCCGGGAAGAGCAGCCACTTTCACTCCGCTGAAAAGCAATGCAGTAAGTGACTTGGATATTGCAGCAGGCGCCGGCTCCCTGGGTTAATCAGGAGCTGAAGCCTTGCAGCTTTTGCTGGGAGAGACACAACCTCTAGTCTGGGAGGAGCATCAGAGCATGGGTTATTTCTGTTGTTGTTTCTAAATCAAGTGAAGGAATGGAGATGATATGCAGTGACACTAACTGTCTCGTTTTGCATCGTGTGGCTGTGTGTATTGCAGGGGAGTGCTTGCTGTACGGTCCTGTGCTGAACTAGTGCTGTTAGGTTTGTAGCTTTTTTTCTATGGTCATATTTGACAGTGCTTAAACAGAGGTGGTGCTTAATAACTTAATGTCAGTGTTCATTTGTGTGCTTGTTCTTAATTATACAACATGCTTCCTATGCTTGGGTGCAAACTATTTTCTGTACTATTACTCTAATGCTGGATTTACAGGGTCTGTGCCTTTGGATAGTGATAAACTGTACATTGCAACTATGTGAATGAGTGTCTTTATAATGAATAATACATTCAGGTGACTTGGGCAGATATGGCTAATTTCTAGCTTGAGGTAAATTCTTCTGTATGGTCTGAAACTGCAGATGCTTTTTTGTGAATAAATGTTTATAAGCTGTACTTTACCATAGCATAGCAGTGGTTTTCATCAGACTCAAATGTTCTCTTTCTGTACTCTGCAGTAGCAGCTTTCTATTTGTACTGGGCAGGAGAGGGAAAGCATGATTTAAAGTTTGGTTCATAAGAGGGATTTTTACATAGGCTGAAAGTGTTTGCAAAATTACAGTTTGGGCAATAATTGCAGGCCTTTGGAAGAAACTGTGCAGCATTTAAAGCAAATTTGTCTATGCAGGTTTTGCTTTGTTAATTTAGGGACTAATATTAAGCTGCATTTCTCTGGTTTCTTGATACAGCTTTCTCAGTGACTTATGAGGCTCTGGCTTTAAAAAACTGCCCGTCTTGAGAATAACTGCCATTTTGGGCTTCAGGCATGTTTAACTCTGTAAGGCAATGCATGATAAATGTGTAAGAGAGCAGTGCATGCAAGTGACAAAAGTTAGGGATTCTTTTCTTGCTGTTCAGTCAAATGTCAATATTAAATAGCCATTGATCTCTCGTAAAGGAGCACTAATGGAAGCAGTCTTTAATTTTCCAACTCAATGTTTTTTCGAAAGTTGGGGTTTATTTAGTTACTGTAAATTACTGGGAAATGTATAGAAAGTCTCTACATAGTGAACAGAAGGTTTCCTCTTTGCTCTATCTGTCACTTTAGTTTTGAGCAAAATTTGTGGTGTCACTTTATTAGAAGGGATAATTTTCAGAAATAAGACAAATGAAGTTTAGTTTCTGCTCAAAGAGTTTTTGCAGAGGTGCTACTAAAGATGCAATATGCTAAAGATGTAATGTTTAGTCCTAGCACAGCTAATGACACCAAGAAACACCCTGGAAATTATCGCATCTTTCCACTCATGGCAACATGGGTGTCTTAGAGACTTTTCTCCTTCAGGTTGATAGGTGCTGATAAGAGCTATTTCCTCTCACACTGCAGTCAAGAGAAATTTCTCTTTTTTGCCTTGTGACATATGGTGTTACTGAGTTGCAGTCATTAAGATAATGAGACATTAATAAGTTGTAATTATTCTTCATTAGCCCTACAACTTTGAAAGTAGACAAATCTATGAGGAGTGTGAATTGCACCTGACTCTGATCTGCTCCCCTCTTGTCTTCTATCCCAATTTCTTGCTTTCTGTTAATGAACACTTGGAAGGTGTTCTAGTTGCTCTCATTTGAGCCTAAGATCAGTGCAATTTTTCCAGTAACAGGTCACGATCAGTGTGCATGTCATCTGTCCCCGTTAACTCCATCTAGACCTCCAGCAAAGCAAAGAATGAATGTGAAATATAGGAGGATTTATTATAAGATACCTCTGAATGAGCATTATAAACCTAGTATTGATTTACCTATCATGAGGAAATAGCAGGGATTTCACACAATGTACTCAGAACATGCAGTTTTGGTGGCATTATCAACAGACTTTTCAGGTAAAGTAATTGGTGCAATTTAACAAGCTACTGTTTTGAAATTATTTTCTCTGAGGAACAAAACAATGGGAGGAAAAGAAGTGCAAATAAGAGTTGATGTTGGAAAGATACTGCATTCATAACAAGAATCACAAGATGAAAAGAAAGATTAGAGCTGCATTTATGCCTTCTTGCAATTCCGAGTCTCTAATCAAAATGTGTTTCCTGAACTGGAACCTTGGAATTATTTGCCATATATTATTGTTCATGTCAAGCTTAAAATTGAGAACATTAAGTATAAAATCCAATTTCTCAACAGTCTAAAATAAGCATATTTGTAAACAAATGTTTTCACTTCTTCATCCTGCCTTTTAAGTAATCCTGGCAGGAGCCTTGCATCATAAGTCAAGTTCATTTTATTGCACTGCTATCTTAGATATGTGCCAAAGGAAGTTTACCAGTTTTATCCTACATCACCAGTAATGAGTTGCAAGTCAATTTAATTAATAGTAGTTGCTCAACATTGCTGAACTACTTTAATTCACGTCACTAGATCTCTACCACTTTTTCACTTGTAGAAGGACTGACATTTCCTTACAATGTGAAGTATGACTGCACCATTTTGTCATTTAAGTCCCAGAGACAAAACTTCCAGCACAAAACTGTATGAAAGAATATAAAGCGTATGGATAAACGTGGTCCATGGTTTCAAAGCAGAGTGACAATGTGTGTCATAGTTGCATCAGGAACCAGTGGTGCAGAAAATGTTGTGCTAAAAGATACAGCATTCACCATGGTCTCAAATAGATAAGCTTAGCTGAATTCATATAAAAATATTTTTGTACCATGTTTTGTAAAGCTGTTGTGTTTATAAAGAAATATACCTTACAGCTAGTGATGTCCAAAACATGCCACATACGTAGCCAGTACTTCCTTTCTGAGTAGAAAAGAAAGGTTATTTTCTTCCTTTCCTGTTATTCAAGGGTAGACTTTCTGATGTTGTCATCTACTTAAATATGCTGCATAATAATTATTTTATTCATATGTATGAAAGCAGGTCTCTTAGAATCTTTATTATGCTTATCTGCTGTGAGCATCAAGATTGAAATTAATTGGGATTTTCAGTTATATTAGACAACCAATTTTCAACAACAAAATGAATAAGTTATTATTTGCTATTATCACTTCTTACCGAGGGCAATTGCTTAATACTCTGTAATAGCTACAGATCAGTGTACACACTTTGCCATGACTCACTCCACTTTCAACACTAACAAAAGCCCCAGAACCTACTGTCTGTAGAGCAGCAGTGCAGTAGTATTCAAGGAGGATTAAAGGACTAAGATTGAGTACTTCAAGGAGGATTAAAGGACGATGACTGAGTACTACTGCCTGAGCTGTTGTTTTAAACAGAGGCAAAAATAATGCACTTGCTTTTTCCACCTGCTGTCCGAAAGGTAGAGTTACACACCAAAAACCATCCAGAATCAGAAAGATCATGCTCTACATTTTGCAAAGCACCTTCAAAGTGCACCTGTAAGGCAGGCTGACCTTCAGAAGATGCAGAAGAACTGATGCATGATTCCTCCACCTTCTGTATCTGTTCCCTAAAGCTTTAGGCAAGAATTCTGGCATCTGGGGTTTTGCAGATTAATTGAATACACTGAACTTTCAAATAAGCCTATGAAAGTATGTATCCTAATAAACTTGATGATCAGTGACAGACTGCAAATCAAATATCTGTTTTTCACTGAAACATCTGGAGGAGACTCCAAATGCTGTGCGCTCAGTTCTGAACCTTCATGAGTTAGTTCATGGAATCTTTAACGATCTTTTCATCTCTTTTGAACATAAATACAAAGGAAACAGCATGTGAACTTAACAAGGGTTTGCTTGAACAGTGGCTGCAGAGACATACCTTTTCCCAGCATCATTTTAGTATTTAAGTTTCAAATCTATTTCGTCTAGCCCTAGTGACACTAAGCCTCTGCAGGTCCTACCTACAGATAATGCTGAATGTATAGCGGCCAGCCAGAGAGATTCCTAGACAGGAAGAACATCACATCCCCAGTGTCAGTCAGTACTTTGTTCAGAAGGAAAGATGAGGAAACGAGATACAAGGTTACTGAAAACACAGATGCTCACATTTCTTCTTCTAGAAATAGGAAAAAGGATTTATTTCTTTTTATCACAGGTTTTCTCTTATTGCTTTGCTTATACTTTAAATCAGTGCTGCTGGCTGTAAAGAACCACATGCCTTAAGCAAACCTGTATTATCTGGTAGAAAAACCTCCACTTTCTCTCCCTGCCCTATCCAGTTGATTTCATGATTACTCAAGAATTTTCTGCATCACACATTGAGTTTGTTACAAACTGTTCCAAAGCATCTGATGTCACCCAATGAATTTTTGTTTCCATGTTCAAAATGAAGCTCCCACTCACTCTGACAGCATCACCAATATATCTATAACTTCTTACCAAATAATAACAAATAACTCTATCACACAATAAGTTATAAAATTGTTCTGCATTTTCATTAGCTGAGTTTAAAATTCAGCCCTCAGCCTGAGCAAAATTCAGCTATAATAATAGATAATTTTTTTCTACCTCACTTGGTGACACTTACTGTTGTCACAAGTCATTTTGGGATCCTCGTGCTTTCTTTAGGGGGAAAATCAGGGGAAAGAACACCTCATTATCAACACATCAGAGTGGCTGAGCAGCACTTGCTCACTTTCAGCAGTGATTTTCAAAAAGCCTGGTGGAAGCCATAGGCCTGAAGCCTCATCAGAGACAATGAAAAGCAGTGGGACTGAAAAGAAGAGGAAGTCTTAGCCCGCAAAACAGAAGGAGCCAATTTTTGTCAGCAAGACCTTGTTGGGAAAGCATCTCCCATTATTAGAAGTCCAAATAATGACAAATCGTAACTACTCAAAGTCATGGAACTTGGATAAACCAAAGCACAAAGAATGAACTCTAAAAATTGTAT